TTTTTTTTTTTTTTTTTTTGCGTGCTGTAACGCGCCGTGCCGTTCCGCGGCTGAAAAAAAAAAAACTCGAACGTCGTCCGTTCCTAGGGCGCTGATCTCCTGGGTACGGAGCAAACGTCGGTCGACTAGGAGGGTATCAACCAAGTGTGAAACCCAACATTAATCCTAGTCTCTTTAACACACAATCAAGCGAAAGTTTCAACACTCAAACATATAGTTATATCAAAAGGAATCGACCGTAGCCGATACGAATACATATTCAACCCAAAGCAATAAGTGGGAGAATCCAAATCATCATTTGGTACATTCAATAACACAAGACAAAAAAACAATCCGACCATATTAGGTCGAATACCATAAAACAATCAAACAACCGCCAACAAGGAGTTGGCTATCGAAAATAACATTGATGTTGCTAACATGGTAGTCGGACAACCTCAGTTTTTACCTGATGAGATGCGCTGCCAAAGTCATTCATTTCAGTCTTCCGCCAACCTAAGATTATACATGCTCACACCCGTTTCCATACTTTCTTAATCTAATTGAACAACAGGTTTTTTTGCTAATGATTCTTGATCAGATGCACTGCTTGAAGTGTTACATGCCTCTCCCTTTAGAAAGTGGTCTGGGGTACTCCTCCTCCTCGTTCGAGCATAAGACTCGGATCTCAGAAGTCGGGCCGTCTCCGCCGAATCAGCAAAGTATCCTCCCGTAATACGGTCCACTCTGGGTCGATAACAGGGTCGGCTCCTAAAGCAACGAACCCCCGCCCCAGATGCTTCCTAGAGATAGAAGATGTGTCCACTGCAAGTACCTTTTATATACTTTTTTATTTCTCCCAAGTCCAGGGTAACTTAGACGAAAAGAATTCAGAAAAGGTAAAAAATGAGAATCATTTGGACAGGTATAGGTAGATAAGGTCATTCGGGATAGAATGGTCAATCCTCAAGAAAAGGCTAAGTTCATTTGACCTTATCTGCTTTCTTTCAATCGAGTTCATTTCACGATATGCACTGAATTAATATTTTTCAAAGCAACAGTCATTTTAACAAGCAGACAGATTTAAAGTAGAAATAAAACAATATTTCTTATTATCCCTTGTAGACACAATCAACCTCATTTGCAAGCATTCTTCTACCTACCTGCACACCAATCCGAAGCAAAACAAGTTTGGGCAAACAAACAAAACCCATACCAGAGTCAGACCTTTCCATTCACATGCATGACTCGCACAATTTTCCTCAAGCTTTTCTTTCGAACATTCAAAACGAAAAGGGTCAAGCAAAGTGTGGGTTCACACAGGTGTGACAGGAAATCTGAGTCAATGAACTGACTGACCTTGAGTGAAGTTTGAATCGGCGCACTCAAGAAAGCCGAGTAATATGCCAATCACAAGAAAATAATCATCGTTGAACATGAAATATACGACTCACAACTCCACAAGTTGTGGCTTTTCTCCTGAGCCATGACCCGCATCTTCCACCAAGTGTCCAAATGAGCAGAGGCTGGGCCTCACAAACTCAAGCGAGATGGCCCTCCAGGAGGGTGTTCCCACAAATGAGTTTTCACGTGGTCTCAATGTCCCAGGCTGCCCCAACATAGTCCCAACTGTACTTTCTCAAGGATACTCTCCAACCAGCCGCAAGTCCATACCGCCTCCAAGCATCACGTACGCTGACAATAGCCACACCAACATGCCGGTCCCGATCACAACAACTAGTCTCACCTAGTTCCAAAATTATCCCAGATGGTCCCAATGTTGTCCCACACCATCTCTCGCAATACCTGATGGTCTAGAACTCAAAACCGCTTGCACTGCGCGCTGCACAAAAAATAAAGGTGGCCCCCGGAGAAAACCGCAGGTGCCGCGAGCCCCCAAAAAAATAAAGATGTCCTTCCGGCGCAAACCGCAAGTGCTGCAACTCCAATAGCCAGTCCAGTGCCACATGGACTCACTCCGCGATCTCTTCATGCCGCCGACCCACACATCGCTACCGCACAGACCCAATCGTGCACCAGCACAAGCTCAACCTCTAGGTCATCCTGGGATCCGCCATAACCGCCACGTACCACAAAAAACGGAACTGTCGTTCGTTGTGCCGTCAAAACTGGTACCACGCCACCGTGTCAAAACAAATTAGCAGCAGTTCCCACCGAAGTGCCGCTGCTGTGCCAAAATTTTGGTAGCGTAACCTTACGAAAAAAAAACATCGCCATTGTCGTGCCACCAAACGATTAGCACCTCCCCTTAGGGAGACCTTGATGCCACCACGCCATTAGTTCAGCAGCGCCCCTTCATCAGAGTGTCATTGCCGCTGCCGCCGTGAAAAACCGGCAGCGCTTCCGTACCACTGTCGTTAAAACTAGTGCCGCCACCACAAAAATTCGGCAGTGCTCCCGCGTCACTACCAAAAAAAAGCAAAGCTGCTGCCGAACCAAATTCGGCGGCGCTCCCGCAGTACGTCAACAAAAATACTTTTGTCGCCGCAAAAACTGCACAGCATCTCCCCAACACTTCTTCAATTACGGTTGCCATGTGCAACATAACCCCTATACCTTACAGAAAATGGCCGCCGACGCCGCGTTGAACGAACAACACCTTCGTACCACCTCTTCAACTATGGCCGTCGTCGTCGTGATGGCCGCGCAGCACCTCCCCTACACTTCACAAAGTGAAGTGGTGGCTATGGCTGCCTCCACTTCCGCGCCCACTGCAGACCCCCACTCTCCACTCCAGCACCTCCACCGGCAGCACCGTCCCTCTCCAGCAGCATGCAGCAGCCAGCCAGCATTCACTCAAGTGAATGCCCCAGCAACACTGCCACAAGTGCGAGGCTGTTGGGTGGAGTGCTGGCTTTTATAGCCAGTTGATGGTTGTGGGCAGCCGCTTTGCCCACAGCCAAGAAAATTCGTCAGTGCTCCTGGCCCTTAATCTAAATCAATGGCCAGGAGCCCTGTGCCTTGGTTTTTCCCTAGGGGAACCAGGGTCATCAGATTCCAGGAATACCTAGCCGTTTCCTAGGCCAAGTGCTCCTGGAAATGGCTATACACAGCCAAATCAGGACTGCATGTTCAACTGAACAGGCACAGTCCCATCAGCCCCTAGAAGCTTTTGGGGGCTGCACCTGTTCCACGCCTCGACCATATTCGCAACTGTTTTCCCCTTCTCTTCTTTTCCTCCCCTCTTCTTCTTTGTTCTACCCCTGTATCTGCTCTGAACTCGCGGCCACATCCGTGGCCGTTACATATTTATTTTCTTCTTCCCTTCTCTTTTTTTTTCCCCCTCTACCTTCTGGTTTTCCTGTGCAGGGCAACTCGTTTTAGGAAACGAGCAGCCTCCCCAGTCATTTCGTAGAGCCCAACTAGAGTCAGGCTCAAGGGGGTCGTCACCCCCTGCCCGCGCCCGTATCTGGGCTGAAACAGGCGCCCGATACAGGCGCGCGGCTCTAAAGCCCCCCAAAACACGTGGGCAAAGTCCCTCAAGAACAAGGTCCCACCCACGCCCCGAATCTAGCCACGCTTCTGTGGCAAATTCATCTCAACTTGGCAATACCCCAGTGCCGACTATCGAGGCTCAGCCTCCTAATGAGTCGGTGGAAGTCCGACGAAACGGTCTGGAACAGTCATGCTTCCCCGTTCATTTGAAAACGAACGGGTACACCAAGCAAAATCCGAAAAAAAAAATAAAAAAAAATTTGAAAAAAAATCTAAAAAAAAAGAAAAAAAAAAAAAAAAAAAAAAAAAAAAAACCTAACATGGCTGCCCGTTCTCAACGGGCGCCTGTCACATCACTGGGGACTTTAAGTCCCCAGGCACTTTGGAACGCGCCATATGGCGTCTCGTTTTTTTTTTTCTTTTCTTTTTCCGTTTATTACTATATATTTATATTTATTTTTCTTCCTTTTCTAACCCATTCAACGACTGCTTTTCTTACGCGCCGTTTTGCCCTAGTGGCAAAAAAACAGACAAAGAAAACAAAAAAAAACAAAAAAAAAAAGGAAGTAAGAACTTACCTCGTGCTGATGCCACGACAACTTCAATAAAGCCCGTATCTGGGTGCTTACGCGTTCAGATACGGGGCAGGTAAATTTTCTCCCCCTCTTTTTTTTTTTTTCTTCTTTTTTTTTCCTCTCTTAAAAAATATATATATTTAAAAACTTAGACCATTTCTCGATTCATGCTTGTCATCCTTGCACAAGGCCATGCTGATCTGCGCGGCCCAATCTCGGCCGTGCGATCGTTGAAATCGCGCGGTCGAGATCGACCGCGGTACCTCAGAAAGTTGGACCGCTCCTATAAAAGGAGCTAGCCTAGTCACATATCGTCAGGCTCGATCCTTGAATTAGCAGGGTGACAGTCAAATGGCAGTACCTACTAGGTTAGCTCCTATCATGGGAGCTAAGCCTGCAACTCTTCTATAAGAAGACTTACCTCCCTGAAGGCTCGCCTGCCATAGCTGGGCAGGCTCGGCCTGCCTCACCTCTAACCGCGCCGCCTGTCAACTCGGTAGGCGGCCCACCGTTGCGGCTTGGCTAGGTGGCCCGCGACCGACCGCGAAACAGTATCAGGTCCCCTGTACGGAGTACACCTCGTGGCCCAACATCAAGCACGGACATCCTTTCTCCGTGGTCGGCTATCTATCGATAGTCTGAGAGACTACCTATATCCGATCTCCGTTTAGCCTACTTAGGCTCTGAATCGTGCGGCTTAGCAGTCGCGCGACATTATTTTAGGTAGAATAGGTCTATTTACCGTTCCCATGTCCACACATTCCTGCGGCTTCGACAAAAGCGAAGCATCGCCATTCACATCTGTTAGTCCCGGACGCCATACACGTTCAAACTAAAAGTCGAAAACTTTTAGTCTCTCAGTCATAGGTTACGTCTGAATAACTTTTGGCAACGTCGGTCTCATCAAGTCCTTCAATTCAGCGAAAAAGGTCAGACAGCGTCCGACGTTGAAAACCCCCGGCAAATACCCTTGTCACGGTATTTGCCCTGACACCGTCACGCTCGAGAGGTCACCCGCACAACACCAGCGAAGAGGAATTTTATTTTTTCTTGGTCCTTCTCCCAGATTAAATATTTTGATTACCAAAAATGTCAAACAGTGCGTTCTTGCTAGCAATCGACCACCGATAGTAACATTTGTGTGTTTTTCTTCTGTTTGGTTTTGTTTGGTGGGCCAGAAGAAAACACAAAACCCCACCCACTCCAAGCTTTCCGACCTCGCGTGATCTATGTGGTATGAGGGTTCATGCCCCCCCCCCCCCCCCCTGTTCTCCAGGGCTAGGTCCGCGTCCTCTACCTGCCATGACACCCACCAACAACTCCAAAAAAATGTTCCCTTCCCGCATAGCCCCTGCAACATGGTCGATCTTCGTTGCTATATCGTCGTACCGTGCCGCCCTCATAGCAGCCCCCTCCCTAGTTGCTTGAGCCAGCTTCTCGACAGCCCTATCAGACCTTCGCAAACCGTTTGAGCGGTCGGCGCTGATTCGTCCTATCAGACCTCCATAGTTGTCGCCATCGACGACATGGTCGGCGCTGATTCGCCCTCGCGAACTCTCCCTGAGCTAGACCTGCGAGTCTTCGGAGCACTATCGGAAGCTTCGGTCCCCCCGCCTTCAAACCCCGCCTTGCTGCCCAGTGCAGAACCGCTCCCTCTCAAATCCTCGGACGCCATTGTGTTGTCCATGGTGAATATTGCCTTCAGGCGGTACCACTCCATGGCATCCCACAATGGCCTCTCAAAAGTCTGACTGATGTTCAACTTCTTTCCTTCATCCGTGGTTAAGTCCCAGTATGACTTTTTGCCCGATCCTTCGCATGCATCCCTAATTTCCCGAACCTTCTTATGCAGCTCGGCCCATTTCTTCCGGCAATCCTCTCCTGTGCGTACGTACCCCTCCTCTTTCATCCGGTCTGCAATCCTGTCGTAACGCCTTCTAGAAGCACTCGTTCCTCCAACGTCCACAGTATGTTTTTCTTCGGTGGCGCCGATGACTTCCCCCCCCTTTCGCCGATCAGCAGTAGTCGCTACCACCTCCGCTTGTGTTGTTCCACCTCCTCCCCCGCTCGGCACTATCGTGCAAGACCTTTGTCCGCCGTTCATAACTGTGTCCGCAGTCCCTCCCGCAATGGCGGGCTCCTCCTTGCTGCATTCTCGATTACAGACAAATGTGTCTTGCCTCACCGTTGTCTGCGATGCTGCACGGGCCTGCCTTTGAGTCGGTGGTCTATCCCCGCCGGCAGAAGGAAAGGAAACGGATATTCTTTCCCTGTGCTTCGATTGGCGATCAGCAGACCTCGATGGCTCGCCTCCCCGGCTCGCACCTGCGTGCTGGTGATCCCCCACTCCCGCCGTTGGACCACTTGAACCTCCTGCGATGTGTCGAATACCCATTGCCCCGACAACACTCTATTGCCGGCCATTCCGATCGACCGGAGGCGACCTACCAGGAACATTGCCGCCCCCCCCTGGTATGCTGTGTCTGCCGATCGCTGGTGAGAGAGGCAACAAACAATGCACCCGATACAGCGATGGCTGCACTGAAGGCTCAGATTACAACCCCATACGCTCGCCTCGGTCCTTGAAGACACTCCCCCCACAGGAACTGATTGTGGACACTGAAAAACACTCCCACTTCTACCCTGCTGCGTAACCTGTTGATGCAATTGGGGTGGGTACGTCCCCCCCCCGGCGGCCGATGGTGAGTCCTGCATTGGCATGGCGAAAGAGGCTCGAGTGTGCGTGGGATGTGTACTGAACTGCGATTGATTCTCGCTGTTCAACGGAGAGTCAGGGACGTATTGCCAGGCCGGTGCCGACAGACTGGCCCGGTATCTCGTGCCTTCAAAGTGTGTGTCCACGTCGTCGACGATGTCCATGTTCGTCCACCCTCCCAAATCGCTGTACAACTCTGAAGTGAAACTGCGGCCCTCCATCCCAGGCGCTGCGCACCGCGATCTTCAAAGCACGGACCGTCGTGGAGGTTAGGCACGTTTTGACAGAATGGCAATAATAAAGCGAGCACAAGACCCAGACACACTACGAATGCCCAAAAGAGCACCCCAACGATGCTCCTGCACGGGGTGAGATGGTCCCCACTGACAATGATGACCGTCGCTGCGCACGTTTCGCGATTCACTCCATGCGAACACGTGTGACATGCACAACGTCCATGACGCTGAAATGGATAGGGCAGTGGTGCGACCTTCACGCACGGCTGCCCTTCGTCCCTTCGCACTTCTCCTCCCTCCCACTGTCGTACTTTACCGGCTCGAATCGTCACCCGAGGAAAAACTCGAGGCACGACAGGTGCAATGTCGGCATTTGGCTGAGCGGGCAGCACGCAGCATGGACACGACTTCGATTGTGGGAGCATGGGCAGACCACACGCGGCGGAGATTGTTCGGACGTCGGCCTGCCGTGCTTGGTGCACGGACGGCAGTAGAGGTAACGGAGCTGCCCTCCGGCAGCCTCCCCACGTGCAGCAATCGACGAGCCAAACCATGTACACAGCCAGTCACCGAGGTCCAAGCAGCACCCCGGCGATGGAGGTGTCCCGCTCTCTGCATGGAAAAGCGTTTGGAACAGCTTCGGATATGGACGTTCACCACGCACGTGCTTGAACGGACCGTCTCTACTGTAGCCATCGACATGAAAAGATTCCCCTATCGATAGCCTACGTCGGCTGCATGTCCACGTCAACAAGACGATGGGGAGCCCAAGGATTCGAATTCGAAAATTGGAAAATTGCCAAAAACCCCGCTTCTTTCTGGCCCTCCGCGCGTGGGACCGGTACCCTTCACAACGGGGCTGCCCTGGGCGACAAGGATGCCCGCGGGACCGTGCTCCAGGAACACATCACAACGACGGATGGACACAGGGACGTCCGGGGTGTGTCCGCGACCTTGTAAACCTTGAGGGCATCCCAAGCACATGCCATCCCTACCCTGCACAAAAACGCGGCGACAACTTCTCCCGCGATGGTTTTCCAGGTCGAAAACATGTGAAAACAGGAAATCCGCTTTTCTAAGCCGACGATTTCGGGTTGTGGGGTTCCGGAAGTGCTCCTTTGGAAAAGGAAAATGGCCCTTCAAGGACTTTGTGGAAGGTTGTGGGGTACCGGTAACGTTCCGCGGCAAAGTTTTTCCAGTCCGCATCGCTGTGGGGTCAAGGACCCCACAGCTTTGTGGATGTAAAAGTGGTTTGCCCACTAAAAGCGGGCAAGTCGTTTTGGAAAGTCTGACAGTACTTTTTCCGGGATCCCATCGCAGAGGGCCAAATGCGCTTGGAAAACCCTTTGGAAATCAGTTGAGCCAATCGTTGCCTGTTTCCGTTGGCACTCGTCTGTTTTATTCTTTTTTCCTTTTTTTTTTCTTTCTTTTTTGTGGCACTCTTCATCTCTATTGGCTGCTGCCTTTTCCGAGACTTTTCCAGGAACAACATGCCCTCCCCCCTACCCTCTACAGTCGACACAAAATCGCGGCGACTTTTCCTCCCGCGGTGGTTTCCAGGTCGGAAACCAAGTGAAAACACGACAGGGGGCATTTCTGAGGCCGCGTTTCCGGGTGTGTGGGGTTCCGGAAGCAGGCTTTTGGAAAACGAAAACAGCCTTCCACGGACTTTGCGCAAGCCTGTGGGGTACCGGAAAACTTTCCGCGGCAAAGTTTTTCCAAGGCGGAAACCTGTGGGGTCCAAGCCTTAGCCCCATGCAGCTCACAGGCTGCTGTTTCCTTTGTTGTTTTCCTTTTTTTTTTTTTTTTTCTTAGGCGTAGCAGTTTCATCCCACCCACTTCATTCCTACTCTCCCCCTCTCCTCCCCCCTTTCATTTGTAGTCTACATGGAGCTGTGGGAAAATCCGCACAAAGAGGACTACATGCTTGGCTACAGGACACAGTGGATGAACATGCCCCAGTATCAGCTCTCATTCATGCCAGCTCAACAGGACCCTGGCCCACTCCACGCAAAAGATAGGTGTGATCAAATGCCACCTCAACAGGATCCTGACCCAATCCTCCGATTCGAGGGGAGTGGGTCCATGCCTAATTTCATTTAGGAGGGAACTCAGACTCAAGAGTTTTCCGGGTTGGATGTTACAAGAGGCGCTTAAAGATTTTTCTTCGGCTAATGAGGGGTGCTGGGATAGAGGGTTGCGGTTTTTTTCTGAAGGGCTGGAGGCAAAACGGAAAAGGGTGCCACTTTAGGCCTTCTTTTTCTGTCTGGACCAGTTTTGGTCCAGAACCCAGATTCAGCACCAGGACCTACAAGATATCAGATTCGCACAGTAGTCTGGTATCACAAACTTTGTTGGTGTGAAGTTTTGAAATGCAATAACCCGTCTCTTTTTTTTTTTCCTGCTTTTCTTTTAAAAAAGCCCAGGTTGTTATAGAGGTCGGGTATCGACCCAGGTGGGTACTGTCATTGGAGCTCCGGAGCGAGACTTCCCAGTAGGCAACTTACCCAGTATTATTATGGCAACCGAATCGGAAGTTCTCATGGGGAGGTTTGTTCCTGAGTTGGTGGTATTCCACCAATGAGCAACCTCTTTTTTTTTTTTTGGAAAAATGCTCCAGTCTATTCGTGGGAGCAACACGTGCTGGGAACCGGGCCCAGCATCCCATATAGAATTACAAAAGTCGTTTGAAATGCCGGGGCCAGTAGTTCAGAAAAATTTAGGAGAAACATGGATAACTGCTGAACTATTGCTAGGCTACTCAAGCAGCGATTACTAAGTCAAAAGGAAACCCACAGAAGTCCTTTGAATGATCAGAACCCCTGGAATCCCTAACAAAACACTCTAAAATTCTCTAACACTGTCTCATTCCCTGCCGAGCTCTCCCAGACCTCATGCCCCCACCCTGCTAGGTTACAGGGCAACACGACTCACCCCAGCTCCGGCCAGCATTGTCCCGACAGCAACCCTTGGTTTTCCCTTGGAATGCCCGCCCTAAGGCTTTCCCAGATCTCTCTACCAGGCCTCACGCTCCTGATATCAACAGGTTACAGGGCAACCCCTCAGCACCGGCCAGCGTCGTTCTGGCATTGAAAAACTGCAGGTCCATGAATATAACAGCATCGCCGGCTTGGGTAGGAGAGTGACGAAGAGGGGAGAATGAAGGTAGGTGCGGCAAGCGGTAGCGGGAGTTCCGTGATGAGGGTGGGGATCCGCTAATTGGCAATACAACCGACGAAGCGGAGTGATGACCCCACTACAACGGAAGACAGCGCCGGCGTATGAACGTGCGACACGTCAGTGAGCTTGCTCCCCTTGGGGCCCCGTATCAGGAGACTGATACGGTGGGGGATCACGACTGACGCTTTCCACTGCGTACACAGACAAAGGCGACCACGACGACGTAACGGCTTCGACAACATCCGACAAGCGACTTCTAATCACAAGCTGGTAACACGACCCCGACCCGATCCCTCTCCACCTCACCCGTCCCMCCCCACCCTCTCCCCCGCGATCCCGACTAGCCCCCATCTCCGCCCCCCCMCCACCGGTCCGGACCTCCCCATCCCCTCCCCATCCCCTCCGCAATCCCGCCCATCTCCTGTCTCCGCCACCCTCCCCCCCGACCGTCCCACACCATACTCTCCCGCCGCGATCCCGACCATCTCCCGTCTCCGCGTCCTGCCCTTAGCGCGACCCTCTTACCCGACCCCTTCCCCCCGGGACCAGACCACCAGTTGCACGCGCCCCACACCATACCCCTCCTATCCCGAGCTTCTCCGATCCCGACCATCTCCCGCCTCCGCCCCCTCCGCGTTCCTGACTATCCCCCGTCTCCGCCCCTTCCACTGCCGGCCCAGACCTCCCAATCCTCTCCGTGATCCCGACCATACCCCGTCTCCGCCTCCTCCTCCTCCCTCGACAGTCCATACCATACCTCCCCTTGCACCCTGGGCGGGACTTGATCCCGATTGCCCGCACCCCACGCCGTCCCCCCCGCTTCAAGCTTCCTCGATCCCATCTCCCGTCTTCGTCCCCTCCACTATCCCCCACCTCCGCCTCCTCCGCAACCGATCCGGACCTCCCCATCCCCTCCGCGTTCCCGACCATCTTTTGTTTCTCCTCCGCAACCTCGCCCATCTCCCGTCACCGCTTTCTGGTGCGACCGACCACCCGTCTCCGTCCCCTCCACTGACTCCGCCCCTCATCTCCCCCGCGATCTTGACTATCCCCCGTATCCCGACCATACCCCGTCTCCGCCTCCTCCTCCCCCCTCGATAGTCCCGTACCATACTTACCCCTGCACCTTGGGCGGGACTGACTCCGCCCCTCATCTCCCCCGCAATCCTGACTATCGCCCGTCTCCGCCCCTTCCATTGCCGACCCAGACTTCCCCGGGTTCCCGTCCATACTCTGTCTCCGCCTCCTCCTCCCCCCTCGACAGTTCCATACCATACCTCCCCCTGCACCCAGGGCGGGACTTGATCCCGATTGGCCGCACCCCACGCCGTCCCCCCCGCCTTAAGCTTCCTCGATCCCGACCATCTCCCGTCTCTGTCCCCTCCACTGCCCCCTCCCCGACCATCCTCCGGGTTCCCTCCGCGATCCCGACCCGACTATCCCCCATCTCCCCCCGCGATCTCGACTATCTCCTGTCTCTCGTCCCGTCAACTGCTTTACCCTCCGCGACCCCGACCATCTCCCGTTACCACCTTCTGGTGCGACCGACCGTCCCACACCATATTCTTGTCCCCACACCCTCCGCGATCTCGCCCCCAATTGCCTGCTCCGATCCCAATTCTGTGATCTCCCGACCACGTCCTCGCCTCCTTCGACCAGCCCCCGACCACTCGCTCGACCACTTTCTCCCTCCCCCAGATCATTCGCTTCCCCCCCGCCCCGATCCCGTTCCAGCCAAATCCCGATTAGCTTGATTACCCCCTTTTTCCCGACCTCAACTATCCTCCACCGCCCTGGCAGCCTCGCCCCGCCGTGTGACCGCCACCCCCCTCAACAAACAATCCGGACTTCGTCCCCGTCTCCTGTCTCCTATCCACATCCCGACAGTCCGTCCCCCTATCCGATCATCTCCCTTGCACCTGATCCCGGGTACCCTCTCCCCCTCTGCGCCTGGGTCTGGACATCATGGTGAACAGTAAGAGCAACAAGATGCAGGTTCGTCACCAGCGTGCACATAGGAAACTTGATTCCATGCTCCTGTACAGGGGGGCGACGAGGCACTATGCCCAGAACCGGTTATTAGAGGACACGGGGAAGGAAAGAGAGATCAAGAGGAATGAGGATCATTCTCATATGCCAGGAATGAACACTCAGGGAAATCAATCAGAAAGGGAGGAGCCGCAATCTCTCAACAACGTTCACTCAGGGTCCACCAGCTCAGCCCCTCACAGCTCGTCTGCCAAAACCTGGGCAGAAAGAGTGAAGGGGCCATTGCCCAAGGACACCATCAACATCCAGCGTAAGAAGGAGGGGGGCAATGAGGGAGGAGAGGAGTGGAAGATTCCCTTGAGGAATCTAACCACTGCGGGGGCTTTCTTTCTGACTCGCCTCCTGTCCTCCACTGAAAAAAAGATCCTGCAGCAAGCAGGCAGGACCACGGTTGTTAGAGCACTTCCGGGGGACGCAGTTAGAACGAGAGATGCTCTGTACACCACCCATGCGAGCAATTGGGCATTCCACAATGACTCGACCTTCAAATCCACGAACGACAAAGTGGGTTGGATCAGGGAGCGCTTGGCAACATTTAAAGGATCCCCTGCGAATGCCCGTGAAATGTTCCTGATTCAACCCGCTTCAGCCTCGGTCATCACCATTCTATCCGTTGCGGAAGAAGATAAAAAAACAATGGATAGTTGGAAATCCCTCCGCTGCGATAGATCGGAAGTTCGTATCTACCCCTGGGCCCCTCCGAAACCACAACGGCCAGAGGAGCGCAGGGAGCAGATGATGAGGGAACATTTTTAGGTGAAGTTCCGACACATCCCGGTCGAAATCCAAGCAACATTCGTTCAGGATTTCGCTGAGAAATACGATGTGGTGGACTTCATCAATCCACTACCCCACCATATGGGCCGGAGAGATGATTACTTAATGCTAGCCATCAATCTTGCAGATGATCATATCTTCTCGATTGATGATGTCATCCCCTTCTGCGTGGGGGGAAAATTATATCGGATCCACACCGCTCACAAACTCAGGCCGTGGTGTTTTAAATGTCAGGCCTATGGCAATTTATACACTGACACAGTATGCTCCCGTCACCCTTCCCGCACGGCTAAGCCCACTGGATGGCTCCGGAAAGACCCCTTTGATGAATCCAGGTGGCGGACTGTCGACCCAGGATATGAAGGTTGGGTCTACATTGACGCGCCAAGTGGGAAGGGCGGGGAGATTACTGGTTGGTCTTGGGAAGGACAAGGAGACCCGCGGTCAGGGTCTCAACCTCCAGCAACGTGGATCCCTCCCAAGGTCTTGGAAGCACATTTAAACCCCCTCCTGCAAAGACAAAAAAACAGGACCCTTGGGAAGTGGTCGGAAGGAGAAAAAAGGCGTCGCAGAAAACGATGTTAGACAATAAGGCAGGCACTGAGGACAATCGTTTTGCTTGCCTTGAGGATAGCGGGAACAACCACAACCTGGGACAGGAAGACAAGCTGGACCAAGATGGACAGGACAATCATTTTGCTTGCCTTGAGGATAGCAGGAATAACCTGGGACAGGATGACAAGCCGGACCAGGATGGACAGAAACAGATCCCTAATGAGGACCCGAAAAACCTGACCAAACAAAGAGAGGGCGGTGGTTCCAGGGGGAAACCCGGCCCAAGGCAGTGAATGCGCGCAGCAGCTACGGGACACACCGATTAAGGACACGGTAAAGGACGCAACAACGGATTGCGCAGTAGCATCAGGCGATGGGGGGGCGAACGGGAGGGAAGTAGTCAGGGCACAACAAATGCAGCCCCTACAAAACCATCAAGGGGCGCGGTTGAAGCAGCAGGCGAGGGGGAAGCAAGCCACTCTGCAGGCGCAACAAGCACAGCAAGCACAACAACCGCAGCAAAGGCCCCGCCTGCCGGAACAGGAACAGCATCAGGCTCCTGCCGCTCCGCAACAAGCGGAACAAGGAGAAGTACGAACGTTGTCGCCTGACTTCTGCTCTGACCCCTTTGGGGCTCAGCAGATGGATGTGGACGCATCCTCTCCTCCCCCTAATGTTGAGATGGAGGAGCCCCCACAAGACCCAGCAGACCCCGATGCCCCTCCCCATGACATGGGCTTAGATCAGAAGATACAATTGGTGGCAAATTGGATATTGAAGCACCTCCAATCGGACTGCCCATTTGAAGGGGAGGAATACTGGGATAAGTCTTACGTCGAACTGGTGGGACTTCTGAATAACAGCCCCTCACTGAGGGTTGCATTAACATCTGGCCCCCCTTCCCATCTGACGTGGGCCGAGGCCTTCCAACGGCTCCTGGGTGTTGCTCGGAGCCGTTTCCACCCCCCCTCGGCAGCTCGTTACTCCGCGCCGAAAAAGCACGACCAATCGACACAGCCAGAGGCAAAAGGAATAGAAACGACCGACGAGGGGATGACCTAACGAAGACTCAAACTAAGGCAACTCATTGAACGGCGTCTTTTTGAGCTGCCACTCTCTAAGCAAAATGCAGTACTAGTAATCCCCCTAAGAAAGGCGGAAGGAAAATGGGAAGTGGGTCTTTCCCCGGTAGGGGAGTACGGGGGTGTAACACTGCAAGGCTGGGAATTCTTGCTCCAGGGGGGTGACCAGGGAGAAAGGGCCAGGATCTTCTCCAGCCAAATGACCGCCTTTATTCCTAAACACTACGCCCTAGGGGCGAGTGAGGGTTTGAGATTTGTAGCTTGCTGCGATGAGCAGATGGCCAGAAACAATCTCTACCTGCTCTTCGAGCCCAACAAATCCGCCAACCTAGGATGGTACAGCCACAACGCTCTCCCGGACCTGCAGTGTGCAAAAATAAAGGCCAACGAATACTGGTCCGAAGACGACGTTTTTAGATGCCTGTGCCGTATGGTGCGGAAGAGGATTTTACAGCTAGACAAATGAGACGTCAAGAAATGGCATCCGCTATGAGGCAAGGGGAGTTGTCACTAACCAATGGATGATTTAGATATACCATACGGTAGGAACCCTGCTTGGAAAAAATGTGTCGACTCTGCCGACCTGGATCTTCGCTCCCTTAATGTAAACGGTCTGGCATCAAGCAAACCAGAAAAACACCAGGCCATCTGGGATCAACTAAAGGGCATAAGGGGCAGGCGGTGGCCGAATGTAATCTGCATACAAGAAGCCCATCTGCAAAACATTCCGGATCACAACCGAGCTCATAATCTAGCCTGGCCTCATACGGCCATAAGAGCTCACGCTCCAAATCCAGGCTCAGCTGGGGTAGCAATTTGGATCCCCCCTGAGTCTAGATTTCAACCAGTTCACTGGGCGGTGGACGAAGTGGAGGGGCGATGGGCCTCTGTCCTGGGAATGTTAGAATTAGAACTCCTCTGTATCATCTGTATCTACTCACCTAACTCAGTTGGAGACAGGAGGGAGTTCTTGGGGACGATCGGATTGCAAATCCTAGAAGGTATACCATTAATAATAGCTGGTGACTTCAATGCGACCCCGAATAAGAGTTTGGACAAATAGAACCCCCAAGAATCTCCCTCCTTCGCTGCAATGGAGGACGAACAAATGATAGCAGACCTCTGCGAGTCACTCTCAGTCTTTGATACATTCCGACGTCTGCATCCTCAAACACGAACATTCACATGCATTCGAGACAGTAACCCAACGCGCCTATCCAAGTCCGGAATAGATCTTATTCTACTGTCTAACGATCTTCCGGGTGCTCTGCGGTGGTCAATGATTCTCCCTCGCAGCCCGCACCCGGGTCTCGATCATAAAACATGTGGCATAATACTAACAATGCGGAAAAGGCCGGATCAAGGGCCAGGTTTCTACAAACTTAATACCTCCCTACTCAAGGACTCATCCTTCTCGCATATGGTTCGCCACGAATGGGAGTTCTGGCGCAAACAAAAACACCTTTTTGATTCCTATCTTGAGTGGTTTAACAACGGCCTAATTTTTCTAGCCAGAAAATGTAAGGAATTCTCCAGAGCCAAAGCGGCCCTACGGCAGCATCTTGAAATGACC